TTAATATATTCTGACACTGTTATCGCTGTTTGTTTCCTTTGGTGTAAAATGCTGTAGAGTATTTTTAAAAACCCTACAAAGAGAAAAAGTACAAATCGGAAAAAACAAATTTGTTGTTAGTATGATGTGAACTTTCCAATAACAGTGTTTCCCTTTGTATATGCAAATCTGTATGTGAATTTTTGTTCATTTTGCCCAAACCAGTGAAAATATTTATTTCTTTCATTTTCCCGTTTGGGGGATATTATCTCAGGCAAAACGTTATCTCTGTGGAGCACCATAGCTCTTTGAATTACTTTAGGATAATTGCACTGCCCTAGAAATAAAAACTAGGAAAGCACTAATTAAAAATCAAAAATTAAAACACAGTAAATCAGTAGCATTTCTGTCTCTTTAGAAACTTAAAGCTGTGTTTCCTGTAATTATCCGATAATTTGTGTTTATTTACCCTTATTACCTCTTCACCTTAGATTCTGCTGCAAGAATTTGACACTCGGAAACCTCAATATGAGCAGCTCACAGCAGCTGGTCAAGGTATTCTGAGCCGACCTGGTGAACATCCTTCTTTCCATGGGCTTGTGAAAGAGCAACTGGCAGCTGTGACCCAAAAATGGGACAGCCTAACAGGACAATTGAGTGACAGATGTGACTGGATCGACCAAGCCATTGTTAAAAGCACACAGTATCAAAGCTTGCTGAGAAGCCTTTCTGATAAACTGAGCGATTTGGACAATAAACTCAGCAGCAGTGTGGCTGTGAGCACACAGCCTGACGCTATGAACCAGCAGTTGGAAACAGCCCAAAAAATGAAGCAGGAAATAGAGCAGGAAATGGAGCAGATAAAAGTGGCCCAGACCCTCTGTGAGGATTTGTCAGCACTAGTTAAAGAAGAGTACTTGAAAGCAGAACTCAGTAGGCAACTAGAAGGCATCTTAAAATCATTTAAGGATATCCAACAAAAAGCAGGTTTGTCTATCTTCTTTTAAAACATGGATTCCCTGGAAATAGAGATCACAGATTGCCTAGTTCCAAGCCATTGCCAGTAATCTGGGACCCCGAAGAGCATCTGCCCCCACTGAGTTCATAAGTGGAGAGGTGGCTGCTCAATGAATGCAGACGGCAGTTGTGTTCATGTGCACACATAGTAATAGGGTACTTCTACACCGATCACAGAGGAACAGTGGGCACAATCCACTCCGTGAGGGTCCACTGAAATTTCAGCTATTCCAAATTGGGTTCTAAAAGATGGAAATGTGTTTGCTTGTGTGACTGTCTTAGTTCACCAGAAAAATAGATACAGTTATTAAAAAGACTTTGCATCATTTTCTCATCTGTAGTTATTTTGTCTGACTCTGTCATAGAAAATATTTCTAGAGAAAGTGTGTGAAAGAGAAGCACTTGGTACTATTTTTCTCTCTCACCTCTGTGGCCATGATCCTGTGACAGGTGTGCTAGTATTTGTCACAGGCAGCAGTAGTGACTTATTAGACTTCGGAAGGGCTGGCCAAAGAATAGCATGTTTGACTACTGTGTTTGCTCTGTTTGAAAAGTAACACTAGGTGCCTTGTACCCAGTGAATACTCAGCTTATTTTTTTTTTAATTGATTGGATTTGTTTCCTGATCAAAGCAACCATTTAGGCTTATGCCTTTATTTTGGCATGATATTGATCCTAAATATTAGCTATTCAGATTGTGATTATTATTACTGTATGGACACTTCTGTGTGACAAGCCTTAAGCTGAGAATTTTACATTTACATGAGCTATCATATCATTGCCACAACAGCGTCTATTAATGTTGTCAGTTTGCATTTGGGGAAGTGAGGCTTAGAGGTTTAATCATTTGCCCAGGGTCTTCCAGCTCCTGATAGGTTGAGGTGGAATGCAAACCCCTGCGGCTCCTGTGTGCTACATTGTATTGCCTTCATGACATATAAAACACAAGAGTTAAACAGTCATATCTGATCAGAGATGGGTTATGAATCAGCATACTTAGAATTTTGAACAGTTGTCACTTCCATAGACTGGAATGGCAGTGACTACACAGCGGGCAGTGTGTGTGTGACTATCCTGTACCGCCCTGCAGCTTTACGTTTTACGTGTTCCGTAATTTGGACCTCTCACCTCTCTCCTCCTCTCCTGGATTATCACTTCTTGTTGTGCCCGCCTTTTGCTCCTTTCCCCTCCTTTGTGAATAACTTAAGCTCACTTGTAGTGATTATAGTCAGCGAGCACAGCCCGTGCTTTTGGGTGGTCCTGTACATTTATTGGGTGGTTTTGCTTTTGGCTTTCCATAGATTAAATCAGCATTTTGATGTAAACATGTCTGTAATTTCATTTTTAGAGAATCATGTCCAGCACCTCCAGTCAGCCTGTGCCAGCTCTCATCAATTCCAGCAAATGTCGCGAGATTTTCAGGCGTGGCTGGATACAAAGAAAGAAGAGCTAAACAAGTCTCACCCAATATCAGCCAAACTCGATGTCTTGGAGTCATTAATTAAATATCAAACAGACTTTAGTAAAACTTTGACTGCTCAAGCTAGTGTTTATGAAAAAACCATTGCAGAAGGTGAAAATCTGTTGTTAAAAACACAAGGATCTGAGAAGGCAGCCTTACAGTCACAACTTAACACAATTAAAACCAACTGGGATGGATTTAATAAGCAGGTGAAAGAAAGAGAAGACAAAGTAAAAGATTCATTGGAAAAAGCACTCAAATATAAGGAGCACGTAGAGACTCTCCGGCCCTGGATAGACAAATGTCAAAATAACGTGGAGGAAATAAAATTTTGCTTGGACCCTGCTGAAACCGAGAAGTCTATTGCCAAGTTCAAGTCTCTGCAGAAGGAGATAGACCAGCGCTTTGGGATGGTAGAATTGCTAAACAATGCAGCCAATAGCTTGCTCAGTGTCTGTGAGATCGATAAAGAGGTGGTTACAGATGAGGCTAAGTCACTGAACCAGAAGGTAGACATGGTCACTGAGCAACTTCACAGTAAGAAATTGTCTCTGGAGAGCATGGCCCAGAAATTGAAAGAATTTCAAGAAGTGTCCAAAGAAACTAAGAGGCAGCTTCAGTGTGCAAAGGAACAGCTAGACGTCCATGATTCTCTGGGACCCCAGGCTTACAGCAACAAGTACCTGACCATGTTGCAGACTCAGCAGAAATCACTGCAGACCCTGAAGCAGCAGGTAGATTTGGCCAAAGGACTTGCGCAGGACCTCGTGGCAGACGCCTCAGACTCAAAGGGGACCTCTGATGTTTTATTACAAGCAGAAGCCTTAGCTCAAGAGCATAGTGCATTAAGTCAGCAGGTTGATGAAAAGTGTTCATTCTTAGAAACCAAGCTTCAGGGCATTGGGCATTTTCAGAATACCATCCGAGAAATGTTTTCTCAGTTTGCAGAGTTTGATGACGAACTGGATAGCATGGCTCCAGTGGGGAGAGATGTAGAAACATTGCAACATCAAAAGGAGGCTATTACAGCCTTTCTGAAGAAACTGGAAGCCTTCATCGCTAGCAACGACAATGCCAATAAAACCTGTAAGATGATGCTGGCCACAGAAGAAACCTCCCCTGATCTTGTTGGAATCAAAAGGGACTTGGAGGCTTTAAGCAAACAGTGCAACAAGTTGCTGGACCGAGCACAAGCCAGAGAAGAGCAGGTTGAAGGGACGATTGAGCGCCTTGGAGAATTCTATAGCAAATTGAAGGAATTTTCTACTCTGCTTCAGAAGGCAGAAGAGCACGAAGAGGCTCAAGGCCCCGTCGCTATGGAAACAGAGACAATCAACCAACAGCTTAATGTGTTCAAGGTAGGGAATTCTTCACTTTTACTGAGCGCCGTTATTATTGCAGGAAATTTCTCATTGGTATATAAAGGAGCTTGTCTACCTTGTAGAACCTTCTAATATGACTGTCACAGTGTTTGAGCTTGAATGAGCATGTATGTAGGTAATTCCCAGGCACATGGGGCTGGTCCAAGCTTACTAGGGACTTGGGTCCTCATGGGGTAAGGCCTTGAGACGATAGTAATAGGTCAAAGGGTGCTTGAAAAATTGCAGCACTTCTCCATGAAGCCTGAAACTGACATCATGGAGTCCGTTTCTGATATCATTTACAACTGACATCTGGAGGAACCAGAGCCATGTTTTGAACTCTGCTGCAGAGGCCATCCTCTAACATGAAATGCTTATTCTTTTCATGTTTGCCTCCCAGCATTTTCTTTAATGGTGAATTATAAGTCTTTTCCTTTCTTTCTTTTCTTTTTTTTAATTTAATTTTATTTTTTTTATGGTCTTCTTATCTTTCTTAATTGGATTTCTTTTGTGAACTTTTTGCTTCTCAGAGTTCGTGTTTTTAAAGGCAGAGTGGAGTTCCATGTTATAATCCTCATTTTATAAAACAAAGATCTTGGGCTTACATCCCAGAGGATTAGGAGCACATTATTTTTTATTGGACTGTAAGCTCCTCGGTGCCAATGAGTGCCTGCCACTTGATAGCGTAATGAATGGAACATTAGGTAAAAATGGTGGACCAGGTTTAGTGTCTTTGGAGTTGGCCTCATTTAAGAGCAGAGGTTGTATCTTGACAGCGGACAAAGATAGGTTCCTCCTTGCCCAGAGAGGGCCCTAAATATCAAGCATTTGCTGCATGGGACTGACATGAACCTTCGGAGCTGGCATGGGTCCTGTTCTATTTATGAAGTGTGTTTTACTTTCCAAAAAAGACTGGTGTGATGATAAGTCCCACCATTAGCACATAAAGGATAAAATAAGACCAAATAAAAACAGAAATTGCAAAACGAGGGGCAAAACGACAAGTTGTTTCCTATGAGGAATGAATATAAATGAAATGGACTTTCAAATTCTGTGCTGTTGAATTTGACCTAGTATTTCCCTCGCTCATCCTTAATAACAGTATTTATGTGACTGCATTTTGAAAAACAACTTCAAAATCACTCCATTTTCTTCTCCTTCTTACTGTTATGATTATTTGCTGTTTATAAAGTGCCTTGGGAGCCCAGTACCTACAGGGTCTAAAAATCTGTGGTTCTGTATTTAGATCTTGATTCTTGAAGGTGAAGGAAACTACCTACTGTTGGTTTTACTTCCTTCATTATCTGTCAAACTTTCCTATTTCTGGTTTGCAAAACCAAGATTTCATATGTGAGCATTCTATTATATATTAGAAAAACAACATACTGCTAATAAGACTGGAGTTGCTGCTTCTAAGAATGTGGGAGAGTGTGGGGAGTGAGTCATCCTCAGACAGAAAATGTGGGAATTTTCTATAGAGCTCTGACAAAACTTGAAAGCTGAAATGACAGTAACCAGGTAGCCTTTTTACTAGAGAGATTTAAGCATGTTCAGTGTCTTTGTGAAACATTGTCATTGCTCTAGGTTTTCTTTGAATTTGTGTAGAAAAAACTGTGCTCATTTCTCTTCACTATTTCAACTACTTGTAAGAAAATGGGCAAAAGTTATGGTGCTGCTGCGTGAGTACAGTGAAAAATGTGGCTTTCCATGTGGAGACTTCTTTTTTTTTTTTAACTTCATTGGGGAATAGTGTGTTTTTCCCAGGACCCATCAGCTCCAAGTAAAGTTGTTGTCCTTCAATCTTAGTTGTGGAGGGCGCAGCTCAGCTCCAAGTCAAGTCGCCATTTTCAATCTAGTTGCAGGGGCGCAGCCCACCATCCCATGCGGGAATCCAACCGGCAATCTTGTTAAGAGTACATGCTCTAACCAACTGAGCCATCTGGCCGCCCAAGAATTCTTTTGAAAGTAAGAAAAGGCAAGAGATAGGAGGAGCCCTCTCACCATTGCATTGAAAGTGTTTTACAAATTGAAAAGCACTAAGTATCGTTACCATTAATGTTGAAAGAGATTGTTTTATTTGATTGTGAAGAAAAATAAACCACTTAGCATGCTGTGTTTATCTGTTTTCTGATTACTTTGGAGGGAGCTGATTGATTTTAATGACATTCAGTAATAAAGAATATCAATGCATACCATCAGTGTCTTGAGACCCAGTGACTCAAGACAAAAATAAAGGTTTCCAAGTGGACAAATCATCTGTATTTAATACAGAGCGTGCCAAACAAAATGTATACACATTTTAAGAAAGGAAAACTATTAAAATTGTAATACTCAATATGTAATAACCAATAACAAAAGATGAATACAAGTCACGTTTGACTTCTGCAATTCGAATAGGTGCTCAAAGTGGTTACCATCAGCATCCAGAAACTTTTGATTACGGTGAACTACTATTTGAGGAACGTTAACCAAAGTGTCCACTTGTTTACATTTTTTGGCACCCCTGGTATATTCCAGTGCCATAGATAAAAATAGAACAAGCATATTATTATGGTAAATAAACATGGTAACTTACACAATCACTAGTTCTATTTATTTGTGTGTGTGTGTGTGTGTGTGTGTGTGTGTGTGTGAGAGTGTGCGCGCGTGCGTGCTCTAAAAAAGCAGTCATTACAACAATTAACACTGTTGTGGACTTACAATGTGTTAAGCATTATTCTAAACTCTGTTTTTAATCCTGTTAACATTCATGAGAGGTGGATGCTATTATTATCTCCATTTTACTGCGAGGAAGCTGAGATCCAGGGAGGTTAAGTGACTTGCCCAAGGTCACACAGGTAGTAAATGTCAGAGCCTGGATGTTTTGGTGGATATAATGCAGTGTTTTGTGTCAACTTTATTCACCATGTTGCACATCTGATAGTTCCTGTGGAAAATATTCAAATCATCTTTGCTGCAGCCTAATTTGGGTGGCCTGAGTGACAGCCATTGTTTACTTTAATCTAAAACACCAGGAACACCTGCTTAGAGAAAGTGGTCTGTTAAACTGGCTGCTATGAGAAACATGAGATGAAAGTGTGTGAAATTGTCTTAGAAACGGATACATAGATGCTGTGATGATGATGGTGATGGTTACCACGACTGCCTACTACTGAGAAGGAACCAAGCATTTTATTGTCTTAAGTAATTCTATCTTAAGTGGTAAATTAGTTTACAATTCAGATCTTAACTTGGTTTCTGTTGAGCATTACGCTTTTGTTGAACATTAGTTTTAACATAATATTTTAGAAATGCTTTTATTCTTAAGTGGAATAATTTATATTGAGTGAACAACCAATAGTTTGCTCAAAAATAGCAAACTACTAGTTATTCTAATTTCTAAAAATACAACAGAAAAGCACTGAAATACTGGATTTCGAAAGTATTTTTATTATAGACTTTGAAATATAATCTGGATTGACATTACTTTTTCTGGTAGATTTAGTTTAACCTAATGTCACAGATAAAATTATAACAATTTTTCATAATATAAAATAAGCTGCCTCTAGAGTAGGACTAAAGTTAATAATAGCTATTACCCAGTTACTCAGTAGGGGGTGCCTTATAGTCACCGGGACCATAATGGATTATTTAAACTAGGTAAGACAGACTTCTCTGCTTGGATTCCGACCCCCTCCCGACCCCCACCTAAAACTTAACCTAAGAAATAACAGTTAATATCCTTGAAAGGACAAAATTAATTCATGTTTAATATGCCAGCCCAAACATAATGATTAAAAACAAATGCTATTCTGAACCAAATGTCCTAATTCATTTTCAGTGAAAACTAAGTTTTTGAAAATAGATTGGTGCTACCTTCTGTGTTAGCTTAACATTTTTTAACTATTTTGATTATTTAGGTTCTGTTTATCATGCGTTTTTCTACTTCTCAATATTAGTCATTGGACTAATATGTCTGAACAGTGAGCTGTTTTCTATTACTGTTGATAACTCTCAGTACCATTTTCTATTTATCCTTCTCTATTATTACATTAAATTCTACATAAATTACTAGGCAGAAAGTAAAAAAAAAGTCCCTTTGGTGTTCCCCTAGCCCTACCTCCTGTTGGAGACTTCTAGCTCAAAATTATCTTCAAATCTAAACTACATTATTAAGTAATAATGTTTCCACATTTTTATTTATCAAAGACATATGTAACCAACCGTATATAACAAACACATCCTGGCAATTCCCATGATGTCATCAACAGCCAATCAGATTTTCTGGTCCTCATGAAGTAATCATTGTCACCATATTGATTTGATTTAATTTCACTGACGATCAAAGAAACTTGATGTTTTAACGAACATGTACAGTCACATTCTAGCTAAATATATACCCCTCCCCACCTCTATCTAGGCCATGGTAAAAAAAATCTTACCTCACAACCTGCTTACTAAAGTTTATTCCCGGCCACTCTGTTGCTGCCCCAGTTGCCTTTCATTTTCTCCCTACAAACGGACACCTCAGTGGTATAAGTCTCTTTGAGCCAAAGATATTTTTTGTTTTCAAAATGAAAATAGCATTACATAGAGCAGAGAATTTATAAGCCAAGTTGAAGCCACAAAGACCAGAACACATGCCTAATTATACCATAATAAATTTTCTCTGGTCCAGGTGAAGACATTGTTTAACCCCAGCATCATCATTTGACTGTTGGGTAAACTAAAATGCCAGGTATGCTGAGGCTAGTGAAGTCAGGCAGTTTGAGCACTATTTGTAAACAATATTGCTGAAATAATTACTTTGCAAATATTTTACTAAGGTGTTTATTAAATGATCCTAAAACAACCTCTGATATCATCATATTTTTAAAGATAAAATTAAACTGCCCAAAGAATGCTTTAATAGTAGTTTTTAAGTGTGCCCATATTGTTATATAGAGGTGGATGATGAATTGTTCTCCATTTTTGTTGAGAACGGGGAAAGTGAATAAAGCTGTTGCCGAAGAGGTTTT